TGCGTTGCAAAAATCTATTGTGGACACTCATCACAATCCAGGTGAACCCTCTCTTAATATTGCTGATAATCTTCTTGATGCATTAAGAGAAAGGAATGAAGGAGATATTATATCTGTATGTGCACCCATGTCATATAATGTTGGTGATGACCAAAATACTGCTGTGATTGGTGATTTAAATTTGGTCAATATTCCTGTCACTGAAGCCGAAAGACAGACAAATAATGACCAAATTTTGAGCAATATTGATGATCCACAAATGGAAGTAAATGACTCTGCCAGAGATGATGTTGACGTGGTCAGAGAACAAATAAGAGAAAATGTTGGAGATGAGATTAGAGAAGAGATTGGAGAACAAGTAAGAGAAAAGTTCTGAATGAGAATAGAGAATTAATTAGGGGGGGGGGGGGAACAATTAATTGAAGTAGCAGTACAAAATGTCTCTGTCAAAGCTACTACAAACTTCCAATCCCCACTAGAAGACAGACCATTGTCTTAGCAGCCTATTCTCTCAAATCCCAGTTTCTCCCAAGATATTGACAATTATCAAGGAGAAGAGGAAGTCAATGCAGAAGGAGAAAATCTTGGAAAAGAAGCCAGTTGTCGAGAAAATACCACCATGGCCGAATCATCTGAAGGAAGAAGCTTACAACTTGTGGAAACTCCAGTTCTAGCAGATTCAAGAAGGAAGTTTCTCAGATCCCTACATAATCTAAACTGGACAACACACCACCGGCCTGAAGAAGATGAAGATGATATTCTGACAACTTTGTTTGCCAAAGTATCCGAATCGGGAGATACAATTTGTCACAAGATCGGAACTACTTTGAAGGATCAAGGACATTTGGCGATGCAAGAATTTGACAGCACAATGTCAAATTTCACGCAAATCTGTGAAAATCACATATCTTTGGAGTCCAAGATCGAAAGAACAGAAGGCCGTTTGAAGGCTGACATCACTGCTAGTTTGGTTGAAGTGATAAAAAATTTAAAGAAAGAGAAGGAGGAAGCCGAGAAGATCAATTATGAACGTCATATGAGGCAACTGAAGGCCATACAAGATCAAGAACGAAAAATTAATCAACTTGAAGTTGAGCTATCATCCATGACTCAGAAGTTGGAAACCTTGCAGAATACTTCTGACGTAGCAAATGAGGAATCAAGATTGTGAAAGCCAACCAAGACCGAGATACCCGTGTTCTTAATTTCCTTGCTAATAAAGCCAAAAGGGGGGGAACAATATCTCAGTCATATGGCAGCTCAACAACATGAATATTTTATTGGGCAACCACAAGTTACACCACCAAGTGGCCGAGGCCGAGGCCGTGGACGCCAAACATCTCCAAGTGGTTTGGGTTTTGCTCAATTTTCTAACTATTGTTTAGGTGCAGGTTCATCTAAAGGAAAGGCTGATGATTTGTTCAATTGCTCCAAAACCAATATACCATCTATCGTATGGACCAAAGAAAATGCACCTGCCATGATCAAGAAGCAATCCCCAGCTGAAGTAACTCACTGGGTGAATGAAAAGAATAAGGAAGAACAGAGAAAGAGAAAGAGGATGGATATGTGATTTGAATTGAAAAAACTCACTGGAACCACAGGAAAGAAGCATATGAAAATTACCTCGCCGGACAAGTCAACAAAGAATTCTTCTGTGAGCGTATCAAGAATGATGTGTACAAGATGAGAGAACACATCAAAGATGTCTTGAAAAATGGAAGAAGTGATAAGAAGCAAAAGAGGTAATATGATCCTATGATTTTTGAAACTTTTTTTTTTTTTTTTTTGTAAAAACTACTGTTTCGAAATTATCAAGTATTTTCCCTTATTATGATCGTACAAGTTATGTTAATTTCCTAAAGTGATCTATATTTCTTTTTGATATCTTAACTTGTAATTAGTATGTGAATTAAAAGACAAGCATGTAAAACGTATAACAAAAGAGAAAAATGATTAGAACTAAATATCCAAATGCGTATTAGGAACTTGTCTAAAATTAATTCATGAGTCAATTTATTTTTCCTAGAAAATATTTGTTAAACTCATCATGGCTTTGTCAAATAAAATTGAGCAAAAAATATTTTTCAAAAGACTTAAAGCCAATGACTGAGTATAGGATTTTGGCATTATCAAAATGGGGGAAATTTTTAGGAATATATTGTAATAGATTTTGATATGCCAAATTTTATTTTAGAATCCCCAATTTTATTTGTTAAGTCTAGGCGTGTCATAGACCATGAAAGGAAAATTAACAAATATGAAGAAATGGAAAAATACGAAGAAGAAGATGTATGCATATGATATGTATACTAAAATAAGCCCACACGGCACACGCCCAACTCAAAGAAGAAGTCATACTGATGAATCTCATACGAAGAAACGAGAAGCAAACTAAATCTCATGAAGCTCTCTTGAAGATCAAGCATCTATGGAATGAAAGAAGTACATCAAGAAGAACACTACAAAGACCAATAATTTGTACAGTTGAGATGGATGAAAGCTTGATGTATAAACTGCAAGGTTTTAGGTTTGAAACTCACTCCTTACAATTTTATAAGGCAAAACTAAGAAGGAGATGAAGTAGGAGATGAAGTATCAATAGAGGTTTTGAAATTAAAGAAGAGATGAAGTTGGAGCAGAAGTTTCGAAATCAATTTAATAATAGAACTTGGAGGACAAGGTTAGAGATGCGGTTGGATATGAAGTTTCGAAACTAGGAGTAGAATTAATTCAAGTAATTCGAAACTAAGAAGGAGATGAAGTTTCAATAGAGGTTTCGAAACTAAAGAAGAGATGAAGTTGGAGCAGAAGTTTCGAAATCAATTTAATAATATAACTTGGAGGACAAGGTTAGAGATGAAGTTGGAGCAAAAGTTTCGAAATCAATTTAATAATATAACTTGGAGGACAAGGTTAGAGATGCGGTTGGAGATGAAGTTTCAAAAGAGGTTTCGAAACTAGGAGATGAAATAGGAGATGAAGTTTCAATAGAGGTTTCGAAACTAAAGAAGAGATGAAGTTGGAGCAGAAGTTTCGAAATCAATTTAATAATAGAACTTGGAGGACAAGGTTAGAGATGCGGTTGGAGATGAAGTTTCAAAAGAGGTTTCGAAACTAGGAGATGAAGTAGGAGATGAAGTTTCAATAGAGGTTTCGAAACTAAAGAAGAGATGAAGTTGGAGCAGAAGTTTCGAAATCAATTTAATAATAGAACTTGGAGGACAAGGTTAGAGATGCGGTTGGAGATGAAGTTTCAAAATAGCTTTCGAAACTAAGTTGGAGCAGAGGTTTCAAATGCAGTTTCGAAATCAATTAAATAATAGAGATTGGAGATGAAGTTAGAGATGCGGTTTGCAAGTTAAAGGGGGTGTTTGGTTATTGGCTTATCAGCCAAAATTTAGCTGTTTTGACCAAAAATAGCTGATTGACTAGTCAATAAGCTATTTTTATGTGTTTGGTAAATGGCTAATTGGCCATAGCTGATTGGGCCAATCAGCCAAAAAATGAAACGCTGGGTTGAGCAGCGTTTGTCAATAGCTGATTGAATATATTTATTAAATTACTAATTTAGCCTTGTATTTCTCATCCTTTACCCCTCTGCTGCTTCACCACTCACCAGTTCTACCTGCTGCTTCACCACTCTGCTCACCAGATTTCACCAAATTTGCAATTACAAAGAGACAAATGGAGTAGTATTTCAAATGGATTACCCCTCAAATTTCTCATGTCATCTTCATCCTCAAAAATCAAAATACACAATGAAACTAGATTTTTATTTCACAAGAAAAAAAAAACAATCAAACAAACAACAAGGACGAAAAACATTGCATATCTGAGTTAAGAAACCAGTTAGCCCATCTTATTCGCCGCTGCTATCTTCCTCATCTTATTCGCCATCGCCGCATGAAAAACAAATGGGTAGGGAACTAGGGATTTGATTGCAGCGCTGGATTGTGGATTTGTGGATAGGCTTAAGTTTTATAATAATAATAATAATAATAATAATAATAATAATAATAATAATAATAATAATAATAATAATAATAATAATAATAATAATAATAATAATAATAATAATTTTTACAATAAAATCATTTTACATTTTAAATATTTAAAATTATTTTCAATAATAATGAAATAAATAAAAAAATACACTGTAATACACTTATGTAAATAAAAATAATACACTTCCAAATATAAATGAATGGTGGCTCAAATTTTAGAAGCATTTATCAAAATTAAGATTTCATACTTCTTGTCTTAATAAATTTAAACTTAAAATAGCATAATATACTCATACCCTTAAAGGTCATTTTACATATAATCAGTTAATAGTAAACAGAAAATTTACCAAACACTTTTTTATAACCAGCTAATACAATCAGTTGGTCAAACTAGCTAATACAATCAGCTATTAACTATCAGTTAACTCGATCAGCTATCAGCCATTTGCCAAACACCCTCAAAGTCTTCATAAGTCAAGTCAATTTGCAAGTCAAAGTCAAAGAGATGAAGTTCGAGATGAAGTTTCATCAAACTATATATAGTAAGAGCTGAAGTTAGAGATGAAGTTTCAAAAGCTATATATAGTAAGAGAACTGAAGTTTCAATCAAGGATTGAATTCTCACCATCAATATGAGACCCAGATCAAGAGATCTCATTGGCCGAAACACTTCATCAGTAGCCATAAAGAGAGAATAATATACACAGATGATGAAAAGTTCCAGAAGGCTTGATCTACACCAGAATTATTTGAAGAAGCCTTAACGTGAAGACAAGATCTGCATCAGAAATATTTTAAGTCTCTTCACATGGACCAAGAGCTAAGCAACAGCCAAAATATCAGAGATATTATTTTTAATATGATCTTCTGAGAAAGCTACAGATCCTCTGCAAAGGCTACTAGAATTCAAATCTAAGATTTGGAATTCAAATTTGAGATCTACAATTAAAATTTTAGATTGTCTTTTTGCAACGGACGACTTCTTAAAACCAGCTATAAAAGGATGAAGAATGAAGCAGATGAAGTACTCCCAATCCTCGAAAGAAAGAGATCATACGAATCCAATCTGCTTGAAAAAGCTACAAGTGAGAATATATTCACAGTGAGAAAAACACTCAGAGAGCTCAAAGAGAAAATATTCAAGAGTGTTTAGTTCTTCATCATTGAGAGATTTGCTGCATATTGAAGATCCATTCAAGAAGTCTCAAAGTTGGAAGCCAGTTAAACTTGTTTTTCTACAAACAAGTGAATCAACAGTGTTGGAGAACACTGGACGTGATTAGTGCGGGCTTTGTGATCAAAGCACTAGATCAAAGGATACGTCGAAGACGGGGGGAAGGTAGCACGGAGTTGTGAAATCCTGGATTGTCACACGGAGCTGTGAGATCCGAAACAGCAGTGTCAGAGGCACTGGGCGTGATTGGTGTGGGCTTGGTGATCAAAGCACCAAATCACGGGATACGTCGACCAGATCGTGGAAGACGGGGGGAAAGTAGCACGGGGCTGTGAAATCCTGGAAAGTAGCACGGAGCTATGAAATCCGAAGCAGCAGTGTTGGAGGCACTGGGCGTGATTAGTGTGGGCTTAGTGATCAAAGCACTAGATCACGAAAATTCATTGTATCTAGGAACCAAGAAGTGGTGGATATAGTGAATTGCTCTTGGACGATAAGAGCAAGTGGAATAGGAGGATTACATCACCTCCTAACCACTATAAATTGCCTTGTGTCATTTACTGCTTTATTTACTTACTGCTTTTCACGTTGATATACTTGACACAATCACACAACTCGTATTTATTTATTCCGCTGCGTACAAGACTCTAACAATCTAGTTAAGAGTCTTGATCTCTCAGTTGCCTTAGCAATTGTTGTATTCGCGAAAAAGTTTAAAAGTTTATTCACCCCCCCCCCCTCTGGACTTTTACCACACCCCCTTAGGGACCAACAAGCTGCAAATAATATCCCATTAGTATCTAGAACTTTTAGGATTGTTCTAAACCAATCTTGGAAAATATTTGTCACAAAGTGGGGGAGTGGAAGGCTAGATTGGTCCCATATGGCTCTTGCATAATCACATAAAACCAATGAGTGCATAGTATTCTCATCCATAAGTCCACACATGGCACATATTGGGCTAACATCTACCCTCTTTATAAGTAAGTTGGTAGTGGTAGGGAGGATATCACTTATAGTTCTCCATAAAAAGGTCTTCCATTTTGGAGGAATTTTAAGCTTCCATAAGGTGTTCCACTTATCAAACCCATAGGTGTTCTCATAAGTGCCCACAGCACGTCTGTATCCATTCTTGACAGTATAGCATCCATTCGGGTCACTATACCAATACCATATATCCTCGTACTCTAGTGAGACCGGGATCTTTAGTATTTTAGGTATGTCATCCGGGTGGAAAATATCTAATAAAATATGAGGATCCCATGTACCAGTTGTTTGATCAATTAAGCCCACAACTTTTTCCCCTGCTAACTGAGGTGGTATTTCTGTTTGAATCATTGGATCTAAATTAGCATGCAGCCAAGGGTGCTCCCATATTAATGTTGAATTTCCATTCCCAATTCGTCGTCTCACTCCACTAGTTATTAATCCTTTGGCAGCCATAATACTTCGCTAACAATAACTAGGATTATTTTCAATATCCGCATCAGAGAAGGAATGCTTGGGGTAATACCGTGCCTTATAAATTCGAGAGACGAGCGAGTCAGTATTAGTAAGCAAACGCCATGCCTGCTTACCCAACATCGCCAAATTGAATGCCTTCAGATCCTTGAAACCCAGGCCTCCATACTTCTTGGGAGTACACAGCTTATCCCACACTTTCTAGTGAATGCCAGGGTCAGTCCCTGTTCCCCACCAGTAATGATTCATTGTTCTCTCAATAGCTATACAAACAGATGCAAGCAACAAAAAAAACACTCATTGAAAAGGTAGACATAACTTGAGCTACACTTTTCAACAATACTTCCTTACCAGCCTGAGTTAGTAATTTTTTATTCCACGAACCAATTCTCTGTCTGATTTTGTGAATCTCGTTTGGTCCCTTGGATTGCCCTGCCCGCATCCTTGCTAAGAGAAACCTTAATTCCAGTATAATTCTTTACTTTGCATCTCATTTGAATTAGATAAAATCAATCATGACAACTCTCTGTATCTATACTCCTTGATCCAAAGAAAGCAAGTTGTTGAGCTAAGCGACATGGAAGGCCTTCGTCTCTATTTGGAGACCAATAACACTGTCTTTCATCTCCGGTTGGAAACGAAGAAGCTTCTTTTGTCTCCAAAAGGCCCTTCCTTTGTCACTGGCTAGAGATGAGGAAACATCTTTGTCTCCAGCTGGAGACAATGAACACAGTCTACGTCTCCCGTCAGATACGAAAGAGAGGGTAATATATTTCATATTCAGATTTGAAAAAAAAATGTTAGATAGAAATAAAGATACCAAGGATTGTGATAGGTTCGGGTCGTTGTCCAAGGAATCTAAGAGGTCGGGTTAAAGGTTGGAAGTGAAGCATGATAAAATTATTCATTGTTTGCTGAGTAGAATTAAAGCGAGGGAAATTAACACAAGGGGGTGATTTTATTTTTATTTTTTTGTTTTTTTTTTGTTTTGTTTTTGTAATCCCCATTGGTGCCCTAGAACATGACCAATGATACACTCGAGGGTGGCTGTGGCTAGGCAACCGGCATTGGTGCTTAGCCGGTTGGCTTTTGGGTGGGGTACCAATCTAGCCCTCGCCTATTAGCCCATCAACCCTCCATCTTGTCAATAGGGATGGTTTCAATTACAAGTGTCAAAATAGGCCTGAAAGTTGAAGTTGCGCATAGAGTTGTTGGAATGCTCACTACATGCATTCAACGCATTGAATACCAAGTTTAACGTGTTAAAAGTGTGATGATTGGTGATTTTCCTCATCTGTAGTAGTTTGACATGTGTTGGTCTGGAAGGGTCGAGGCTACAAGTTTAGAGGGGGGAGGGAATAGACTTGTATACTTTTTAAAAAAATTTTAACGATTTGATTAGAAGCTCTGAAGGGTTAATTCTTTGCAAATAAATGATTCGTAGAGTCATGCACAACGAAAAATGTTTTATGCTTTTTGAGTGGTTTTGCATGTAAGTTTGATCTTTCGAAACGTTGGTGGTTTGAACGTGTTAGAATGTATGTAGTAAAGAGTGTGTGTGGGGGGGGGGGGGCGGGGGGGGGAGAGATTTTTATAGTGATTTGGCCAGCATAGCTTATTCCACTCTTCTCCTCGAACCCCTAAGGAGGTTTGCACTATTATCCTTTAGTATAAATTAAATGCCCAAGCCTTGAGCACCAAGCCAACCTTAAGCTCCACAGGTTTTTCAACTCAACACGAGTTTACTCGGTCTCTTTTTACTTCTACCAAGTAGAGTTACAAGTTTCTTTACGAATAAGATTTCTTTGATTCTCCAACTAGAAGCCTTGACTTTGAATGATGAACTTGATGTTCTCCTTTAAGCAGCTCAAGCTTCTAAATCTGAATTTTGCTTTGTAGCTTTTTCTCTCTCTTTAATGGTCACTTAATTTTGAACTTTGAAAGCTTTGAACACTTGAATATTTCTCACTTAATGGACCAACACCTTCTTCAGTCTTTAATGAAGGTATTTATAGCCGTTTTGAAATGAATCTGTTGGAGGAAAACTCAATTTAAACGTATATTAACTAGTGGGTAATGACTAGCATGTAATAAAAAAAAAAAGTAGCTTTATGTGTCAGATTTTCCAGCCGGTAGACCACCTTTTTGGCTGAACTTTACTTTTTGTTCTGCACAAAATATCTAGGCTTTTTAAGGAAAATCTCCCTTGGAATATGTACCTAGGACTCTCTTTGCCTTAGTCACATTTTCTCATAAAGCACTAGTGTTTTAAGGTTCTGAACTGTTTGCTCAGAGAATGTCTCGAGCAGTCCTTTCAAGTAGGGATGGAAATAAGTCGAGCCGAGCTGAGCTTTAGAAAATTAGGCCTAGGCCTATTACGAACATCAAAGGCATGAGCCTGGGCCTAAGCCTGTATCTAGGCTTTCTGTTAGGCTCAAGTCTGACCCTACAATTCGTTTGGTCTGGCCTGAAGCCATTTTAAAAGCCTGCTAATATGTAGGCTAGTGAAAAGGCATCAAAATAAGTCCTGCTTTGAGCTTATTTAAAGCCTACATTTAAACTTTTTAAAAAACTTTAATAAGTATTTCTAAATAAATTAACAAATATACCTAACATAAAACTAATACATACCAAGTTTAACGTGTTAAAAGTGTGATGATTGGTGATTTTCCTCATCTATAGTAGTTTGACATGTGTTGGTCTGGAAGGGTCGAGGCTACAAGTTTAGAGGGGGGAGTGAATAGACTTGTATACTTTTTAAAAAAAATTTAACGATTTGATTAGAAGCTCTGAAGGGTTAATTCTTTGCAAATAAATGATTCGTAGAGTCATTCACAACGAAATATGTTTTATGCCTTTTGAGTGGTTTTGCATGTAAGTTTGATCTTTCGAAACGTTGGTGGTTTGAACGTGTTAGAGTGTATGTAGTAAAGAGTGTGTGTGGGGGGGGGGGGGGGGGGGGGGGGAGGGGGGGGAGGGAGAGAGATTTTTATAGTGATTTGGCTAGCATAGCTTATTCCACTCTTCTCCTCGAACCCCTAAGGAGGTTTGCACTATTATCCTTTAGTATAAATTGAATGCCCAAGCCTTGAGCACCAAGCCAACCTTAAGCTCCACAGGTTTTTCAACTCAACACGAGTTTACTCGGTCTCTTTTTACTTCTACCAAGTAGAGTTACAAATTTCTTTACGAATAAGATTTCTTTGATTCTCCAACTAGAAGCCTTGACTTTGAATGATGAACTTGATGTTCTCCTTTAAGCAGCTCAAGCTTCTAAATCTGAATTTTGCTTTGTAGCTTTTTCTCTCTCTTTAATGGTCACTTAATTTTGAACTTTGAAAGCTTTGAACACTTGAATATTTCTCACTTAATGGACCAACACCTTCTTCAGTCTTTAATGAAGGTATTTATAGCCGTTTTGAAATGAATCTGTTGGAGGAAAACTCAATTTAAACGTATATTAACTAGTGGGTAATGACTAGCATGTAATAAAAAAAAAGTAGCTTTATGTGTCAGATTTTCCAGCCGGTAGACCACCTTTTTGGCTGAACTTTACTTTTTGTTCTGCACAAAATATCTAGGCTTTTTAAGGAAAATCTCCCTTGGAATATGTACCTAGGACTCTCTTTGCCTTAGTCACATTTTCTCATAAAGCACTAGTGTTTTAAGGTTCTGAACTGTTTGCTCAGAGAATGTCTCGAGCAGTCCTTTCAAGTAGGGATGGAAATAAGTCGAGCCGAGCTGAGCTTTAGAAAATTAGGCCTAGGCCTATTACGAACATCAAAGGCATGAGCCTGGGCCTAAGCCTGTATATAGGCTTTCTGTTAGGCTCAAGTCTGACCCTACAATTCGTTTGGTCTGGCCTGAAGCCATTTTAAAAGCCTGCTAATATGTAGGCTAGTGAAAAGGCTTCAAAATAAGTCCTGCTCTGAGCATATTTAAAACCTACATTTAAACTTTTTAAAAAATGTTAATAAGTATTTCTAAATAATTTAACAAATATGCCTAACATAAAACTAATACATAACTACATAAGTATATCACCACAATGCAAATATAATAACATTGAAACATAAAATAAAATCATGTCACGACTTCAACATGCTCATTAACTTGTTTAGAAATAAATTCAATTGTATCATTGCTTGTCATTCGATATAATCTATTAAATAGTTAACAATCAACTCACATAATTAAGTTACTACATGATGCAGCCCAACATAATGAAGATCCATCAAGAGTACCAATTGGGCCAATCACAAGGCCCAAGTCCAAACGATTAAGATAACTCTTCATTGGTGATATTCAAAGATGGTGGAAATCCAAGTCAAGCCCATTTGCAAAAGATGAAGAAGATTTCAAGGCTTTTTATAATTGTTTAAGTGCTGATTTTGGTGATTAGATTAGGCCCAAATCAGCCCTATTATTTTTGGTCATCATTAATTTAAATTGTTTGGCATAAAAGAGAAAACACTAGTTGTATTTAGAAAGGATTCCTTAAATCCTTTTCTAAATAAAAACTCTATTTACTTGTTTTCTAGATTAGGTTTAGGACTCTTTTCCCCATTGTATTTAGATTACAATGCTGCCTTATACCTATAAATAGGGCACATCCATATCAGTTTGAAAGAGGCTTTAATTCAATAAAATTCTTAAGTTTTTCTTCACACTTGTGTAAGAAACCTTATGGCTAATTGTGGACTCAATTAGTGGCTAGTCGTGGACTCGTTCTTAAATAGAAGGAAACTAGATCTGACTCTAGTTGATTGAAGATTGCATCATTGAGGTACTTGAAGCTACAATGGGATTCTTCCAAGTCTTTGAGGATTCGAGACAAAGGGTTTCTCGTGAGGTTTAAGGTATTTCGATCCATCTCTATCGTGGGGCGTTCCTTTGATATATTATACACTTGCTAATTCTTTACGGTCATTGAGATATTGATCTTCGAAGTAAGGGCAGCGTTTCTGTTTTTCTAGATGATT